AGGCAGATACAAAGTCGAGCTGTTCCCCGCTCTGCCCACCTCCTTCCTCCCTCTGGTTCTTTCTGTCTTCCTCTTCTCACCCTCCTCTTTCTTCCTCTCTTTAGCCATTACTTTTGGGAAGTAAAGAACTTGACTTAGTGCTAAAATAAATAAATAAATAAATAAATAAATAAAAGTCTGGGTGAAGGCGCTTCTATTCTCGGTGGGGAGAGTCAGGTCTCTCGTGCGTACAGTTTCTCCTCCTGTTTGCACTGGTCAGTCCATCTCGCGGGCACTTCCCTCCCCACTGCATTGTCTTCACACCCGTTATCCTGCCCCGTTGCTCACTTTTCCCAGTCAAGGGCTCAAGCTCATTTACCTATTTCACTGCTGCCCGGTACGCGCTCTGTTTCCCGTTTTCACAGTTGTTAAGTAATGCTGTGCTGAATACATTTGTGTAGGGGGATTAACAACATAGTTTGTATTTTGGGTAATTTCCTCCCTGGCTATAGCTTTCACGGTATCAGGCACGACTCTTGGTTACAAACAACAGACCTCGAGTCTGGTGAACTTAAGGAGAGAAGGAGTTTATTGGAAGGCTATCCAGTAGCTCAGGGAGTTGAAAGAAGGCTGGAGGACCATCCTCAGGAAAGCAGCAGGAAAGAGCTGGAGAAGGAAAGGTGCAGGCGGGGCTACACCCGGCATGGTCCACCAGGGCCCTGCCACAGTCCTTGCCCACTGCCTGTGACTCCTGACTGTCTATCCCAGTGACATTCCAGTGAGGAATGGAATGAGAGAGAGAACTGTCACAGTGAGTGCTAGCTGGTAGGTTTAGGACACTAGGCCTGGCAGGTGTCCACAGCTGGCCCTGCCCAGGGTCTGCAGAAGATCTTGTTTCTTCACAACTCACCTGGCTGCTGCAGGAGTCCAGGGCAGCCTGAAGCTGACCTCCAGACTTCCGCTTCCTCTTAGAGCTTGGTTTGGTTGAGTCCACAGCACCTGCTGCTTTTCTAGGAAGTGCGAGGGGCCATTGTCATCCTTCTTGGCTTTCCCAGGGAAGTGGGCTTCTGCCTCTCACTCCAGACAGGGAGGTTGCTTGGAGCTCTTGGATCCAGATAGGAAAGAGGAGAAACAGCCACTGTATGTGTGTTACATGTGGGACTACAGTGGGTGAGGGCACAGTTAAAGGCATTCTGACTTCAGCCTGCCAGAGTAGGGTGTAAATACCACTCAGCAGTGCTCCAAGTGACCAGGAGGGCTCAGCGCCCCCAGCAGCCCTGGGTACTGGGGAAAAGAGGGTAAAATTTGCATTGATGATTTCCATTTTACCGGCAAGGGACTGGCCTTGCAAGTATGCAAGTATGACCTACAGATCACGCAGCCAGCAAACCTGAGCTACCTGGGACCTGAGAACGGGTCTTCTGAGGCTCTCAAGGGTTGACTGGACTTGCAATCCCTCCCTGATCTGGGCTGTAGCTGGAAAGAGGTGCTTGGAGTAATCCCCTCACTGGGACAAAGGCCCATTCAACAAAGGAGCCTTTGTAACAGGCTTTCTTTGACTGGTCACCAGGCTGTTACTGGAGTAATTAAGGCCTGTAGACTTTGGATAGAAGATTGGCTGATACTATTTGACAGTAATACAGCAATCTGAGTTTTTGTGCCAATACTATATTTGAAACACACATCTGTGTGCTCCTTAACACCTAGACATAAGCCATGTGACCAGACTGCCCTGACTCTCCTGCCTGGCTACTCTGTGTAAGGCAGAACAACACCTACTTGTCCTATGGGGTGGGGCGCTGGTGACACTCCTGTGCAATGCCAAGCAAGAAGGCTGGCTGGTATGCAGCCCTTACTGCTGTGGCCGAGTCTTTGGGACCTGCTGATGGACATCTGGCCCACTGCTACCTGGAGGAGGAAGGTCATAGCCTTCTGAGGGTCCCTGGGTATCAAGTGCTACCCACCTGCATGTGTCCACCAGTGCTCAGAGCTTTCCCTCCTGGGGTGGTGAGTAGCTTTTTTCCGCTCCATCAAGGGAGATACTCTCCACTGGATTCTTGTGGGGTCTCGGGAGCCAGTGTTAACATTGGCTTGTGTTTTTAGCCCTCTTCTGTGAGCCTGCACCTTTACGTTTAAAGCTTCTTATCTAGAGGAGAAAAGACAAGCTTGACTCTCCCCAGAATGAGGAAATTAGCCTTTCATCAGAGTTGTACCACTGGGGAGCTCAGGGACACAAGACATAAGCTTGGTCTCTGCCCTCAGAGAACTTTAGATGTCTCTCAGGGCAGCCACTACTTGGAGGGGAAGAAGCCTCTGTCATTAAAGATGGTGCCCTGGGTCGCTCCTTGCACAGGCTGCAAACTCCTGAAAGCCTTTCTCTCCTTGTCCCCTGCAGACACTGGTGTGCAGCTCATCTGCCAGGCAAAGGAAGGAACCCGGGGTCTGGATCAAGTGGAGTTTCAGCATTGATAGAGTTAACATTTATGGATTCATCTATTTGTGTGTGCCCTCAAGGGTTCATGACACGAAATGACTTTTAATTGTGCTGAAGCACACATTTCTATCTCATGGGGTGGGTGAGTCACTTCAGTACCGAGAACTGGGCACCAGGGTTTCAATAGTCTTGGGCTCTCAATTCCTTATCACTGAAGGCGATTTGAGAGGGGATTTTTATGTCTCAGCAATATTTGAGAATCTGCAGAGTCAGGAGAGTCTCAGGTGGAGTCTTCGGTATGTGGGCAATCCCTGGTGGCCAGGATGCTGAGGTCTGGGGCTCCCCTTACCCTTTCCTTCAAGCGTCTCTGCGGTCCTTAGCCCTGGGCTCAGGCTCTTCCAGGTTCAGCTGTACCTGCTAAGCTCTGGCTGGGGTGCAGGGGTGGGGTGGTGAGCAAATCCTCAGGGTGTGTGGTACAGGCTGCGTTGTCTGCAGAGAATTTAAAACCAATAATAAAATTGACTGCAAGTCTGTCTGATTTTTATTATCCCCAGGCCAGCAGTTCTAAACAATGTCAGTGATAAAATAATCCTCCCCCCAAAATCTTTTGTTGGTCTATGTTCTAAACAATTGCTATGGTGACTGTTGAATTTTAATCATGTAATTCATGTGTACACACCTGTGTGTGTATGTATATATATGTGTGTGTGTGTATATATATTCATCAGAGTTGAATGATGAATACACACAAACATACACACACAGACACGCGCGCTTCAAATTAGCATAGATGATTTCTTATTCTTTAATAACTATATTCTATATGGACATTAATTAGGAGAATTTCCAGTAAGAAAGAACAATTCAAGATGATTTGAGCTGGCTTCAGGCACAGTCTGTGTTGCCAGACTCCAAGTACCAGGTATGCCTGCATTTAAACAATCGATAAAGGGTGATAGCACAGCAATTGCAAAGGCAAGATGCAAACACAAAGTTAATTCAACTCCATCATTCTCTGGGACCACTTGGAATTCTAATTTGTGTTTAAAATTTAGTAAATGCAAATTTTAATTCATACAGGAAATATTTGACTGAATTTGAATAATAGCTTGAAAATTGAAATTTATTCTGTTTTAAAGCTAATGACTGAATCATGAGAATAATAATAATTACTGATTATTACATGATTATCACAGAAAATAATCTTGTTACATAAGAGGGTGGATGTTCAAAAAATGATCAGTTGTGATTGTCAGATATGCTAGGCTGGCCACTGCCTGTGCTGATTCAGACCACAGAAATCACTGTAGCTCATTGAAACAGGAAGCCATTAATAATCAGGTGTTAATTGGCCTACAGACATTTTGGGAGGGCTGGACAAGCAGGCTGTAGCCAGAATCAATTCCAGCTCCCAGAATGATTTCATCTCTGATGTGACTGAGGGAAACTACATCCCCACTGGTCCATGGCAGAGCCTACCTCCTTGCCCTGATACAGTCCAGCAAAGTAGAGACCTCGGGCCACGCCTCCCACACCACTACCTGTGTCCAAATCTAGGTATCCTGCAAGTGCAACTGATTGGTGGAACCCATCTCTCCTTCCCCACCTGTAAAGGAGGAAGGAAAAGTTGTTATTTTATCTTCCAGTGTCTACAGTATAGGTGGCTTCCCTAGGATGTTTGGGGTGGAGTTTGACCAGGCTGGCTCACAGCATCTTCTACATCTACCCAGCCGAGTCTCTACACTGGGCCTTCTGGTCTCTAGAGGGGTAAGGACCTCTCCTGTTTGGCAGCCAGGTTGTGGGCCAGGCTTGCTTCTGGGGGAAAACAGGTGCCTCTATAGTGAGTATGTCCAGCTCAGTTGTTCTTATGCTGTTCCATTCCCCTGCCCAGGGAACTTCTGTACCTAGGCTCTTCCACATGGAATCTTTTGCTGATGTGTTGGAAGTATTGTGTCCAAATCTTCTCTCCATCAGCTCAGAACTATCTATTGGGTAAAGGTTGCTCCCAAACTCCCATAGCTCTTTATAATGCCACTCCTAATTTCCACCCCACTAAAGTGCATGCATCTTCACCCTTAGAATTATTCTTTTAGAGTAATTATTTTTCAGGGATTCTTCTCAATACATATTTGTAGATTAAATATAATTTTTGTCCTCAAGGAGTTTTCACTGTCATTTTCATAACATTAAAAATCCTCTGGCTTGGCGCCTATAGCTCAACCGGCTAAGGCGCCAGCCACGTACACCTAAGGTGGCGGGTTCGAATCCCCAGCCCGGACCCGCCAAACAACAATGACGGCTGCAACCAAAAAATGGCCGGGCGTTGTGGCGGGCGCCTGTGGTCCTAGCTACTTGGGAGGCGGAGGCAGGAGACTCGCTTGAGCCCAGGAGTTGGAGGTTGCTGTGAGCTGTAATGCCACGGCACTCTGCCCAGGGGGACAGCTTGAGGCTCTGTCTCAAAAAAAAAAAAAAAAAAAAATCCTCTAATTTGTATCTATGCTTGGGCCCCGAAACCTCAGCTCTCCTGTCCTTTGTGAGGGCAGTGAGTGATAGTGGGTGATTTTGAGACCAAGGAGTAGGTTCGACAATGACTGGCCTAGAGAATGGCACTGTGGGGCTGGCAGGGCTGGTGGTGGCGGCAGGATGCACCTCTCTTGCCATGGAAGTGCCAGGTGAGGCCCAGCCTCCTGCAGGAGGTCTGAGGCCTTGTCTGTCCTGTAACCCACACTGAAGGCTGAAGCTCCCCTCATAGGTGGGAGGAGAGAGCATGCGACAATTAGAACTAAAGAGGCTGGATTTCTTTCTGTTGCAGCCTCTTCATAGCTGTGTGACCACAGACCAGTCACTTGCTTTCTCTAGGAGGGATATTACTTAGAGTGAAGATGGGTCTTACTTTTGGAGTAGTGGGACTGGGAAAGAGGTTGTATAAAAGGAAGCAGGAAGCAGGATTGGTGGCACTGGGGAATTTCCTTCTGGATTGCTTCCAGAAGAAATCCCTGAGACAGCAGGGACTATCAGCATGGCAAGCTACACTGCACTCTATCCCACCCTGCCCCATGCCACCATCCAGATACTCAGAAACGTGTCCAGAATCCTGAGCCCCAGGAGGGAGTGAAGCCAAGGATGGGCTGTGGGCCTGGCAATATCCCGGTTTCTTTCCCCTGCCCACTAACTCACACACCACTCTTCTGAAGCTTTGTCTGTTTGCCCCTGCAGCTTCCTAGTGTCCTGAACTACACTTTATTTCTTACACTAGCGACAGATAGTTTGCTCCATTATTATTACCTTCAATGGATACAGAAAGTTTCATTTCCTCATGTCTTGTTGAAATGAAACCCTTTTCCTAAATCCATGGTCTCTTCAAAGCCGTTTCCCAGGGTCCTTGACATGCCACATGTTCAGTTATATGCATGTGCATACACACACACGCACACATATATTTGTATGTGTGTGTATATAATTTATTTCTTCCTGGGTTCCCATTTGCCAGAATAACAAGGCATCTTGCTGATGCCTCAAACCAGCTAGGAAGTCTCTTCAAAGAAGAACATGATCAAGATTAGACTCTTCTCTAAAGATACAGTTAATTCCAACCAGCACATTAAGATTCTGAAGTTCAGACCACATTGTGAAATGTGAATCGATGTGACGTTGTCAAACAAAATGACCTGTGGGCCTGGGAGGTTGGTGCTTGTAGGAAGAGGCCCAAGTGTGCATCTTAATCTTGATTTCCTTTGGGAATGTTTCCTCCATTGTGTTCCTGACCCTGATTATGTTCTTGTGCAATCAAAACAGCTCTAGACCCCAGGGCTAGACAGTTCTTTCTTCTTTCTTTCTTTTTTTATTTACATGGGACAAATTGTTGTTGTGTTGCTTTTGTCAGTGACAACTGTTGGGTTTGGGAGCTATAAGTGTATGTGTGTGTACAGAATGCCACCCTAAGAGGAAGAAATGGATTGGATTTAAAATCCTGCTTGGTGTATACATTGTTCAGTGCACAGCAGCCTTAAAAATCCAAAGTTCAGCATTCAGAGTTTGATCTCAAAATGGCACGAACAATCCAATAGGTAAGCACAGATTTCTTCATTTATATCCATAATCTCAGGATATTATGAAGCCTTTAGCCTTAAGAAAATTTCAGCTGGGATTTATATTTAACACTCCGCTTATCTTTTATTTGGCTTTAAATGTATAGTAGGGACTGTATAAGCCAGGTAATAACAGAGGCTCTGAATTCCAATGTAGAGTCTGTCTTTCCCGGTCCATAAAATGATTTGGAAACTTCTCTGCTGTGTATTGTCATAGCCATTTTTTGGGATCCTGAACCACAACATAGTATTTAAAGTATCCATCCATCTCCATATGTGGGCTTCACTCAGACTCTCCCTAAGCTCTCTTTCAATTTCTTTAGCTCTGTACTTCAGTGAACTGCAAACAAACAGATCATTTTCCTGGTGGTGATAAGGCTGTAATAGACTTTACTTCATTGCCTAGTGCCCTTCAGATATGCTTCCTACAAAACTTTTCAGCAGAACAAATATAGTTACTGAATTTGGTTACTGGTACACAATGAAGTAATAGCTAAATAACACAGTTACACAGTTATAATATAGTTAAATCATGCAGCAAGTTGCACACAATAGAAAATGCAGTTAGGCAGAGAGAATGAAATTAAGGGTTAGAGGTAAAAGAGAGGATGTATCTTTAGATGTGATTTGAAATGAAAAGCAGACACCCTGGGAAGGACATACAAGATGCCACCGGATGATGCCCGAGGAAGCTGCTTCTCTTATCAACTAAGGCAAGACTAGGTAGGACACCAGGAAGGGCACAGCCCTTCTTTTCCCTCTGCACGTTCACTCTGATTTAGTCCTATTACCTCTTCCTCTTTCCTGGCCTTTTCAATTGCTAAATAGCTGATCCTCCAGTTCTCTTCTGATTTATCCTAAGCACAGCAAACCAGTTGTCTTTTACCACTGCTCTGTTATATCATTCTTTTCCAAGTCCTTCAAAGCTCCTTATTACTCACTGAGGTAGAGTAAGTACCACTTTCTTAGCCTGGGACTCACAGCCTTGACATGCTTTTTGTTCTAGCCCTGCTACTCAAAGAGTGGACCAGCACATTGGCATTGCCTGGGCACTTGCCAGAGATGCACAATCTCAGCCGTGCCTTGGGCCCATGGAATAGGACCCTGCATTTTAGCAAGATCCCCATGCAATTCACATCACAGAGACTGAGAAGCATTGCTCTCACCAGACTAAATATTCATACATGTACCCGCTACTTCCTATTTCTGGCTTGTGTCTGTGCAGTTACATCTACGTTTACTCCATCTTTGCCTTTATGGTGGGATCCCCTTATGGTCATCTGAAATGTTACCTAGAACCTCCCCCCATTATCTCATAGCCAGGAAGCCCAAACTTCGGGATGCCTGCCAAGCCCTTTATAAATCAAACTGCCCCCAATTAAGGAATAGCTTATACCCCTTGACCTGGCCCTTTTGGCCATAGAGGATTGGTCTATGGTTGAGTAATTAACACTAGAGCAGTTTATCTAGTGGCTGGCCTGTAACCCAGAATGTGGCCATGTGAAATGTGAGGGGGGACAATAAAATTTGCTCTCTACATTTTAGAATTTAAATAAGGCAGTCAGCAGCGATGGCTGAAACTGAACTGGCAAAGAGAGTCAAGGTTCAGAGAGAGGTCATGTGCAAACTACAGTTAAGAGGAAACAGCAACTTTGAGTAAGCCAAGTCAGTGGGGACAGGAAGACAGAGCAAACAGGCAGGTGTGGTCAAAATGCCATGAGAGAAAGAGAGAAATGGAGAGAAGAAGGGATTTCTAGACCTGTTCAAGTTCATGAGAACTTTCCTCTACTGGGTCATATGTTCTATTTTTTCTTCCTATTTTTTTTTATTAAATCATAAACACATAGATCATGTATACATTAATGCATTAATGGGGTACAATGTGCTGATTTCATATAGAATTTGGAATGCTTACATTGCACTAGTTAATCTATCCCTCACCTCATTTACTTAATTATTATGTTAAGACATTTATACTTAATAGATCCAACATGTACCCTTGCAATATGTACCATAGATGTGGTTCCACCATTACCCGTGGGTCATATGTTCTCATAACAATGTCTTCTGATCCTCATTACTGGAGAAAATTTGCCTAAATTTCTGTTCCCATTTCAATAAGATTGTGTCCTCCTGTTCTGAGTATCTAGCAAGGTGCCTGCTTAAAAAATAGTGGTAGGATTGAAACAAATTGAATTCTAGGGAAGCAAAAGCACTGTGGTGAAGAGATCTTGGGAGGAAAGGGATAGGACTTATCTTTATTAATAAGGGCAACTGAACTTATTAGAGTGGTTGGCATTTAGTTGACATCTCTGGTGCAGTGTACCAATCAACCCAAAGAGCCACAAGCCAGTGTATATTTTTAAAACAAGCTGTTCAGTGTCATAGCAGCAAAATTAATAATCCCTATCTCTCAGTTGATGCTATCTCATCAATAAAATAATTTCTTGTAGTTAGTTGAAGGATACAAACACAGGTTTCCAGTTGGTCAACAATCTTCCTTCTTAACCTTTAATCTGCTCCAGGCTGTTCCTACAGATTACAGGACAAGGATGTTCTGAGAATGATGGGTCTCGGCAGATTGAGGGAAGCAGCTTCATTGCTACTGTTTGGAGGGCTGTCACCCCCTGAAGGTCAGTTTGTGAACGTGTGGACATTTAGACATGGCAGTATATGCAAGGGACCTAGGTTCACAAAGAGAAATGGTTCTGTGTAGGCATGTTTTTCTTTCCGCGTGGGTGATCGAGCTGAATCTGAAGAGCGTCATGATGGTTGTTTGGAAGGAAGGCAGAGAGGGGGCCCTAATTTTTCATGTATGTGGGGATTTCTTTCCCCTGTCTTAACTCCCTCTTGGAGAACATTGCCCTCCCAATCTGGAGGTTTCATCTGCTTTTAAGCTACAAGCTTCTTCTTTAATGGCTTTGTGACTCACAGGCCCTGGGTGATGGTTGCTTTTTCTGTGTATAGAACTATAATCCTTCTCAATTATCAAAGACATAAATTACTATTATTTCCTTACCAGATCGAACATCTTGCTTAAATATGTGAAAGAAAAATTGTTGGTTGTCTGGTGAATTTTCCTCTTGGAAAAACTGCCTATTCTTAATCTACAAGTTCAATGAAAGTTCAAAAGTTTATCAGTGCAAACTCTATATTCTAATAATTCATCAACCAGCTTCTACATCTACATCAGGAGACTCTAGGTTGAGACCTTTTTTTGTCTCCTCTCAAACAGCACATTTCCTGGGCATATTACAAATACCTATTGATCATAATCAGAACACAGATGGTATGAGAGAGCTTGGCTGACACACAGGCCCTGATGTCAATCACAGGAACAAATTGATTTTGACTGCCTGGCCACAATTCTTCTACCCCAGCAGATTTCTATTCAGTGCTGCTGTTTGGAGAATTTTGAGCAGACAGCATTTCTGAAGGAGTGTCATAGTCCAAAGTTATTGTGGAGGTAAACTTGATTACTGTGAAAAGGGTGATTTTAATGTACTTCATTCTTACCTTTACCACAAGAAGGTCAATATCTTTCTCTGGTGTTGAAAGAGCTCTCACCAATTTAAAATGATCCTGATTTATGTCTGCTAATTAGGAAAAAGGAAAATACTAATTTGCAATTTTCTATGACAGTATAAAGTGCATTACTGCTTTTCTTCAACTGGGATTTGTTATCTTACTCATTTTTTTAAATGAATAATTTTCATTGAAATTGTTAAAGTACTTACACTTATACCATCAATCTTTCCCTTGTGACTTGGGTGTAGATATGTATCCTGGAGAATGATGTAGAAAGAGAGAGGGGTCAATACTCCCAAAAGCTATTGTGAGTGTTAATATTCTCTGTGAAGCCAGGTCAGAAAGGACTTTGACAATATCCATTCTGTCCATTGCTTTACTGCTTCATATATCCAGGCTGCAGGTGCAAGTCCTATAAGGAAAGGGTTTGACTTCATCAGGGAAGGGGTGTGGAATATGAACAGAGAGTGGCCTGGGGACCAGTCTGTTCTTCCTTTACCCCAACCCCTGGCTCCAGACTGGCATATTTCCCACCTGGTTCCTCTCACTTGTCATTTAGACATCCTACATCTTTTCTCCTGAATTTTCCCCCACCTATTCTTGCTCAGTGATGGTGGGAGGGGAGCTAGATGACAATGCTTTCATGTGACTTGTCTTTGAACATCTATCTAAGCCTGCTTTGCAGCCATTGTTGAGTATACCAAAACTGGGTATTACACTCATTTTGCTCCATAGACTGATCTAACCCAACTAGATGCTTCTTTTCATGAATTCAAGTTAAGAAACACACAGTCTGTGACCAGATAATGTTGGTGCTTGAAATCAATAGCCAGGCAGGCCTGATGTAGCCATTTTCTACCATTTGTGTGCTAACGAGTCCACGGAGAGAACTTATCTGTGGAGACAAGCAAGAGATCAAAGCTGGCAAAGAGATGAGAGATCTGTGGCCCTTGCCAGGAGCTGAGAGTAACCCTGGCTCTGGGGTTTGGTGAGGCCTGGTGAGGCTTCCTGTGCCCTATTCCTCTCCCTCTTGTCCTGGCATGCTCTATGCCTGCCTGTGGTGCATCTGAATAGGTCCTTGTTTTTCTTAAACTGGCTCAGATGAGTTTCTGTTCTTCACAACCAAATATCCTTTGACTTGAGTCTCTTGCTAGAGTGATTCAGATGGGGAGTTTCAGTTCCTTCATTTACCTAGTCCAGTGCCTGGGCACTCTAGGACATCACGGTGCTCTCTCTCATCTAGCTGATTCCAGTCCCTCAAGAGAGACTCTTTGAGTGTTTGAGTCTGTCACCTTTAAAGCCCTCCACACTCATCCTCTGATGGTCACCCCTGCTCTCCTGCACTGACCATTCCCTTAAACTGTTCTGCTTTATTCATTGTTCCCTGAGGTAGGTTGATGTTTGAAACACATTTTTTTGCTGTTTTTTTTTTCCCCATTGAGAAATGGAGTCTGATTCCCATTCCCTTGAATGTAGGCTGGCCTTCTTGATATGCCTGAAAACTAGAATGTGGTAGATGTGATGTTTGGGTCTTCCCAGGTTAAGTCATAGGAAACCTCACAACTTCTGCCTATGTCCCTCCAGATACACCCTCAGAACCTTAAGCTGCCTTGTAAGAAATTCTACTACTCTGAGGCTGCCATCCTGTGAGAGGCCCAAGATATGGTGGGGAGATGAGAGAGAGAGAGAGAGACAGATTCCAATCACCAAACTTATAAGTTCCAACAAACTTTTAACCCATCTTGGAAATGGACCCTAGTCTCAGCTGATATGATTTAGATCACAGATAAATCACCTCACTGAGCCCTTCCTGAATGACTGAGACACAAAAAGTGTGAGCAAAAGAAAAGATTTATTTTAAATCACTAAGTTTTGAGGTAGTTTGTTACATGCCTAGATAACCAGAATATTCCTAGTCATCTCAGGGGTATTGCTGCCTCCTTGCCTTCCCTTGTGCCATTCTTAAGCCTTAGGAACCTTCCTTCGTTTCCATCTATATATCCCGTGGAGGTCAGGATGAGAATCTCCCTTTCTGAGAGGCCTCCTGTGATTACTCATCTCTTTTATAGCATGTTTGGTCAAAGCCACTCCTGGAACCCGTGGCTTATGCAGTCCTGGGTGCCTCTTTGGTGTGTTTTGTACTGTACATTCCGTGCTCCTTTTTAGAAATTTTAATCCCTCTGTGCCTTGGCAGAGCCTTGGACAGAAAGGATTCAATCTATATTGAGTTTCTTAAACGCTTTTGTCTTGAGGCTAAATACCCCTAATCACTTTAAGCCAAATTTATATTGGTACTATTCAAAGGTTTGTTTGTTCAATTATACATTTTCACTTAGGTATTTAGATTAAATTAGGTGTTTATATTGAAGTACTTTCTATATTTTATTCTTAGATTATGTGTAGACTTTAAGCTGTTGGGATGGTTGGAGAAAAATCCCAAGGAGCACAGAAAGAAAATCCTATGTGGTATAAGTAATGTGCAGAATCAAGTGACATACTGTAAGTTTGTTTGCTTGTCAACACATGCCAGTATCATTTATGGGAGGTCAGGGTCAAATTCTACATTGATAGTTTTATTCTAGCTCGGAAGAGTGAATGCCTTTTAATCATTTTACCTCTTTCTAAGACCTGTTTTGTTGGACTCCCCCCAGCCTACCAACATGAACTTTCCCATGTTCTCAGGACGTTTTTTTCATTTTCATTTCCAAGTACCCTTTGGTTTCTCTTTCAGACACAACATTCTTCTTTGCAGTGTTCAGAAAACTCATTAGCATCCAACCTAATTGAGGATTAGGCAGAGTAAACACGTATTCCTCAGAATTGCCCTGCACCAAAGTAGAAACAGAGTTCAAGCAAAATGTTGGCCCAGCATCCAATGATTTGACCACTTGAGTTTACTTCCCTTCTATCAAATGCAGATCACATCTTCCTGTAGTTTTTCTCCTATCATCGATTAAACTCTTATCTTCAATTCTTAAAGGATCATTGTTTCCTTTTCTGCATACATCCATTTGTTCTTTTCTTCCTGGTGAGTACTTGCCATCATTGTATGTGTACCATTCGTTTGTGAAGTCATCTGCTTGCAGATTTCCCATTTTTCTTAATGTAACAATCACGAAATCAGGAATATGATCGCAGGAGAACCAAACTGAGATGCAGAAATCTTTTATAATAGTGCAAAAGAAAGAGCAAGGACACTGTTAAAATGTTCTGCTTCTTCACAGATTCTGTTAAAAAAAAAAAAGCTATAAAGCTATTGCACTCCTCCCTAGAAATTACAACTGTATAAATTCTAACTTTTCCCTGATACAAGGAACATTTACTGCATTCTATTCATGTTCATAGGTCGTGACTAAGATAAATAGATTTTAGAGAAACGCTGATGTGGGTGTGCTCCAAGTGGGAGGAATTTCATGTTCCAGTCTCCCCGCCGAACACCTAGAATGTTAGAGACTTTGTGAAGTTCACGCTTGCCTCCTTTTAAAGGAGCATGAGACTGAGGTCATAGCGTGAGAAAGCTCTGACACGGCCGTGTGAAGGAACACGGATCTGAAGAGAGGGAGCAAAACAAGCTGAAGTGAGAAGTTCAAATGCATGAGGGTATTCTTACAAGCAAGAGGCACTTGGGGGGTGACTTTTCTAGAGGAGGTGACTGATAAGCAACTCTGCAGACAGGAACACTTTCTCTTTCTCCCCAGTTGTCACAGCGCGCACACACATACACACGCGTGTGTGCACATGCATGCACACAGAGCTTGTTGGTACTTATACCCAGTCTGTCAGAAAGTCTTTACTCTTCTTCATCAGAATCCTGGATTGTGACACAGTCTTCAGTTCCTTAGCAACAAACTGTCCTGTCACCCTTGTGAAATTCTGGTCAGCTGAGAAGACAAGGGGACGCTGAACTGTGATGCAGAAAACCTTCCTTTAATCATGAATGTGTAGGAATCAGTATAAGAAAGACAGGTCAAGAACGCTGCATTTGAACAAGAGGTTTTTTTTCTTTTTTTTCTTTTTTTGCAGTTTTTGGCTGGGGCTGGGTTTGAGCCCGCCACCTCCGGCATATGGGGCTGGTGCCCTACTCCTTTGAGCCCCAGGCACCGCCCTTGAACAAGTGTTTTTGATTAAGGTTTACGTAGCCACAGAAGTCCCCTTTAAGTTCCTTTTTATTGAATAATTTCCCTTTGATCCTTGAGTAACTAAAAGAAACACCGGCACTTGACATTAACCTGGGACCGCCCGCCCCACTGTAGGACTCCTTCCCTGACGGCTGTGGGGCTGGCCTGGCAGCACCTCGCCCAGCACAGCCTTCGCACATTCCTCTTTATTTCCCAGCTGGGTCTTCCCCCTCTCATCTGGTTGGGGATGGAGGGCAGTCGGCTGAAGCGTGCATACATTCTATGTGTACTTTATCTTTTCTTGTGATCCACTTCAAAGAGGCCAGTCAGGAAATGCTGACGACACTGTGAGAAGCTGTAGATTATCTCAAGACTTCGGGCCTACAAAAGGGCAGAGATCGCCAGACAGTGGGGATGCTGAGAATTCCAGCTCATCATCTTTCTGTGTTCTGTCTGTTAGAAAGGATGCAGAATTTTTTTTTTTTTTATTTTTGGCTTTTTAGATAAAGCCAAATCATTGAAATGAGAACAAAATTAAAAGAGAGAAGTGCAGAATTCTTTTAAGAAAGGCAGATGAATAAAGACAGAGAGAAGCCTAAGATAGCAACGATTATTTAAACAACTCTGAGCGCTTTTTTTTTTTAAAGTATCAGTGCAACTTACCTGAATTCCCAGTCTCCGTATTTAAATGTCTGATCAGTCTTTCAGTTCTGATACAGACATGATGCTTGAAGGCCACTTCATAATGGTTTACCCTAGTTCAGATTATGTGCAATCCAGGGGAAAATCTGCGTTCTGTGCAAAAGCAAATAGAAAACACATCTGAGCACAAATGAAACCGTTACCGGGTCCCCCAGGCTCTCGTTCTGTTTGTCTTGGCGCTTTTTCTTTAGCTGCCTTTGGTTTGACGGGGTGGGGAAAAACAAGGACCACCACCCACAAAATGCTGGGCAGAGAATGAGGCCTGGGGGAAGGGACAACATGAGAAGATGTGGCATCCTTCAAGGGCTGTGTGCTGCGGACTTCATCGCAGGGGCAGCTGCTGGGAGGCTTCCTCCGTTCTCACCGATGGCTCTGCTGAGCGTGTGTCAGGAGGTCTCTGACCACTGGCGGGAGGGAGCCCTGCTCTCATCTTAGTCTCTGGCAGGATCCCACTCAGTGGGTAATGAAAAATGGCATTTGCACAAAGTGGAGAGAAAAAGCATTGTTTCTACAGCACATTATACTTTGGACTGCTCAGGGAACTACATTTCACATCCTGTGAAAAGAGTTATCTATGCAACTGACTATGCATGGCAGAGAAGTTGCAATGTGTCTTTAAAAGAGATGTCTCCACACTGAAAAAACAAAAAAACCCCAAAAACCCCCTATCTCTGTCTCTCCTGCTCCCCACTGACAGAATAGCTTGTGTTTATAAACAAATCCACTCAAACCCTTAATGATGACCTAGAATAAACATCTGACATACACTAGCTTTCAAGCTCTCCTATGTTTAGGCATGAATTGTTCATTTCTGTGCCTTTTGTATCCAGCCTGAAGGAAAGACAAATGATACAAGGGATGATTTACATTATCAATGAGGCAGAGGTTATGCCTGTGTTTATCTGATCTTCTTTTATTGTATAACAAACAGTGAGATAACCAGCTTGGTGCACAATGCCCATTCAATTTGAGGCACCCACCCCATTTCCATGTTGACTTTAATTTTAAAACACATTAAAAAGACAGGCCCTAGTGTAGTAATACAAGGCTCCTTTGGTTCAGGCAGGCATGTATAAAAGGGATGGCTGCATTCTCATTTAGTGTCAAGGCTTCCTCCCATTCACCCTCTCCAGAAAGCCTGCAAGGACATTGCAATCGGGTCTTTCCTTAAATGTGACAAGAGAATTAATGTTCTATATTATGAAAATCATGTGGATGTCCACCTCTGGTTGACCCTGCATTCTTAGCAGAGCACTGGAAACCTGGAACAAATTCACCTAGCATCAGAGAAGACCACCAGGAATATGTGTGAGTTAGGGCAACAGGTAACTGTTTTTCCCCTAAGAAAAATCTTGTTGTCTCATGAACTATCAGTCTTGCCCAGAAGAGAATTATATGAAGCCAACCAGAGGCCTTGAGGAGAACCTGTACCCATTTGAACACAATGCCCCAAGGTTGTATTCAGCATGTATCCCCATTGGGAACGAACTACTCATTCTCATGTAGCAGAAATTGCGCTCTGAAGCGGGGGAAGAAAAAGCTAACTTTTTAGCTGTCTGGGATCTGTCTAGTGCTGGATGTACCAATCTTCAAAGCTGTCTTAACCCCACTGCAGAGGATCCCTGTGAGAATTGTGGAGATGTGGTGGTGGTAGATGTGGCGCTGGTGCAAGATGAGGCTGTGGAGATGGAGTGGCAGTAGCGGTGGGAGATAAGCCGGCCTCAAATATCAGGTCCCATACCCTTCTCTGAGTTGGCTCAAAGAATATGGGGGAAAGTTTCAGTTCTGGGTCAGATGAAAGAAAAACACTCCACCTATTTGCTCTGATTAACTGCAACTGTAAAACCTGGACAGCATGTATGGGGACTGCAAAAGGTAAATATTATTAGTACCAAGTAAACTTAGGGAAAAGACCAGAGTCTGGTGAGTTTACTGCTGCTCTCTCTGAGATCTCCCATCCTGAATACAGCGTGGCCTGAAAGCCAGAATTGGGCACAAGGGAGCAGAGAAAGCTCCAAGAGAAGTTGGTTGAAGGGGTGGGAAAGGAAACTCCTGACTTTCAGGAAGAGTGCAAAGTCCATTATTTCTTTTTTATTTTCTCTGTTCCCTCACATGCCAGTCCCCAGGCAATCTCTTAATGGCAGCGATGGGAACAAAGGAGGCAACCAAGAGCAGAGTAAATGAAATCGAAAACAGAGAAATAATAGAGGGAAGAAAAGAACCCAAAAGTTGGTTCTTTGCAAAGATCATTAAAACTGATGGGCTTCAAGTAAAGGGGGTGGGAAAGAGAGAGAGAGAAGAGAGAGAAGACCATTACTGACACCAAGAATGAAAGATAAACTACTGCTATAGATCTCACCAACAATAAAAAAAAAAAATCAGGGAATACTATAAGCAACTCTATGCACATAAATTCAACAACTGAGAAGAACTGTACCAATTCCTCGAAAAGTCCAAACTACCAAAACTCTCAAGATAAAATAGATGACCTAAATAGTTCTATACCTATTGGAAAGATTGAATCTGTAGCTAAAATTCTGCTGGAAAATACACACTGTATGCTTGTTATCAAAACATGTACTCCATAAACATATACAAATACTATGTACCCTTAATAATCAAAAATTTACAAAATTCTACTGAAAAATAAAATCCAGGATGCATTAACTGGTTAATTCTCTCAACACTTAAAGAAGAAATTAGACCAACCTTATGTAATCTCTCCTAGAAAATGGAAGAGGACAGAACACTCCACTATTTGTTAGAATTCTTTCTTCTTTCTAGCATTATTAAATGTTTTAAGTAAGCATTAAATGCTACAAATTTTCCCCTAAACACTGCTTTACTTGCATCTGCATCTTACAAAGATGGATACAAAAAAGGATGATACAAATAAATACAAAGATAATATGTGCACAAATATAAAGGTAACACAAAAAAGAAAACTATAAATCAATATCCCTCATTAACATGGGCACAAAAACTCTTCGACAAAGTATTAGCAAGTCAAATCCAGCAATATATAAAAATAATTCTACCATGACTAAGTGTAATTCACTATATTAACAGTCTAAAGAACCCAACTCACACATTCATTTCAGAAAAAGTATG